GGAGGGAAGGAGGGAGGGAAGAAAAGAAAGAGAGTGGGAAGGGGGAGAGATGGAGAGAGGGAGGAAGGTTCAGATGTACCTACAAGAGGCTGGTTTATCTATGTCTTTGCTCTCATGAGCATTACTTCTCGGGTTGGGGCTCTTTCTGGGTTCACTGCTAGGAAAGCCTTCTTGAGTCTGGGTTTCCTACAAGCGATATAACGTACGCATGGGTCTGGCAGATCCCAGCTCTTCAACCCCCAGGGCAGACACTGTTCTTCCTTGGTAAGGGATCCAAACCCTCCTTTTCCTCAGTTTACTCCTTGATGAAATGGGTGCGAAAGATGTGAAGAGCTCACAGAATATTTGACCACTTAGCTGGAGATGTTAAGTCTTCTGAAGAAATGCCCTGTTCTAGCATAGGGTAGGTTATTAAAACCAGAGAAGACAACACCCAGGGAAGGAATATGCGATTGTAATGGATTTCTTAGCTCCATGTAGACACAGGGGCTCTAATTGTTAAGTAACAGATTGATCAGGGAACATTCCCCCTCTGTCCTCCTGTTACTATTTCAGGGACCCTGATGAGCCACTGCCATTTAACAAGAATGTGCAAATCAGTTTGCTCAGAACCATCCTTGGCCAACGGTCTCTTTCCACTTTTGCCATAAGGTCCTGATCTATATTTATCAGGCCTTCAGAATGCTGGTCCACTGGTGTTGATTCACTGAGGCATGGGTCTATTTCTTCATTCTTCATTGGCAGGCACGTGTGAGGTACCTCCTATGGGCCAGGCAGCCTGCTAGAGGCTGGGGAACTAACCACAGTGTTTCCGTGCGCGGAAGAGACTCTCACAGAGCTGTGTCTTAAAGTTCCCCTTAGTTCCAGTTACACAAGTTCCCCAGGTCCCCCCCGCACCTCTTCACACATGCTTGCACGCACGCACTCACGCACGCACTCACACACACATACACACATCACTCACCTTGTCTACACCACTGTTTCTTATCTTAAATGTCACAACGTGCTTTGGGCTTCTTTCTCATGTGCTTTCCTCACCCTTCCCTCTGCGTCATTTTTGCCCTGGTAACTATAAACAAGTGAAAAGAATGAGTGCTGTTGAGTGGGCCTCTCCCACAGTAGCCTCCATTATGGAAGGAACTATTTCTTGGCACCCCCTGAGCACTCTGCGGTGCAGGGCACAGGCTGCCGGAAGCATGAAGGCATGCGTGTAAGACAAGGTAGGGCAGAGAAGGAACAGCTACTTCTGCCCATGTTTGGCAGATGGATGAGAGCTGCCTCTCCAGAGTTTGTATAAGTGCCCAGGCTGGGCTTGGGAGAGGCTCAGTGTAGGTTTACCAGGCAAGGTCTCTGTATGCATAGGCTCCCCGCACTCTCCCGTGCTAGACAGTGTTTGGTCAGTGTCGTGGGACAGGCTTGTGAATTTAGTCGTTGATTTAAAATAATTAAGTGTTTAGTCTTCTGTTAGCGTCTTCTGCCTCTATACTGGGCAGTTCTACATGTGTTACTTCCAAGAACAAACCAGGGCCAAGTGGACTCGATGCACATGAGACGTTTTTTTCTTCATGTTTGCAAACAGCCTTTGGTTGTGATTTCAAACACTGGAAAGCCTTGCTAGCGGGAGAGCTTCTTATCTGGAATTTTCAAGGAACCGTGGCAATTTAATTAATTTATAGTAGGCTAATTAATCAAATTGTAGTGTTTTGTAAGACCATCGCAGCAGATAGGTAGTAACGGATGGGGAAAGTGGTTTAGCTTCCTCCCTTCTGCTCACTAGCACCCAGTCGTGTGAGCCCAGGCCTCCTGGTTTCCACAGACAAGGCTTTAGCTGTGCCCTGGGTTTGCCTGGCCTGTCCTTTTCAGACCAGTCCTTGTCCTATCTTCTTATTATAGTTGGTAAGAAACCACTCATCTATGAGACAGAATTCTGTGCACATTCCCCAGAGTGACTCCAAGGAGCATTGCTGTTCTTGCTCAGGGAGTATAACCTGTTAATAACTCTCTGCCTCAGTTTCCCTAGCCATGGGAAGCTGTGTTCCTCTTTCTTGTCAATCAAATCTATTGTGTTACATAAGGTCTATGAAGTCATATCTGTAGATGGGCTGGCATTTGGAAGGTGCTCAGGGCACTGTAGCTACTGGAATTACCAATGGGTTCTTCTACCTATGGACTGGGTCCCCAGAAGTCAGATAAAAGATATCTTAAGGGATAGTCCCCTCCCCAATTCATCCTTGTGAGACGCTCAACAGTAGGTACTCCAAGGCTCAGCAACACATACTCCTGTGGGCACCCCAAGCATGGGACATCCTGAAAGCCCCCAAATGAAACTCCCACCGATGGCTGTGCTGGCTCCATCCCGCAGGGAGCCAAGAGGACGCTGCTGTAACAGGAGAGGCAGCAGCTGACTGGCAGGCAGGCCTGGCCCTTGGGGAATTTGTTCTAATCTTAGTAGTCTCTGCCTTCTGCAGGATAAATGTCACAGACCTCAGATACACGTACACTGTTACTACTGTGATTCCCAGAGAAGGGTTGTTGTGGGTCTCTCTAGGTGGCTGCCCCAAAATCTTCAGGCTTACAGTGAGAGGGACTCTCCAGATGGTCAAGTATATTAGTGCTTTACCAGGGCAAGCATAACCCAGGGCTGGGAGATTCTGAACAGGCTTTGGGAAGAGACGAATTGCGTATTTACTTATTGATGAAGGTGAATGAGTTGTCTAGGAATCGGGTGCATCTGACTGTTTAACTCTGGGACGTGATATTGCCGTCCACAAAGTTCACAGTCAAGAACTGGGCAAATGAATTGAAAACAAAGCAAAACAACAACCAAAAACCTGATAATGTTTTAAGTAATTTTGTGTCGGTCTGCATTCATAGCAATGCTTTGCTGACCGTGGTCTGTGTCTCTTCATTCCTGCCTGTCTGAAGCCTCTGTTGTCACCCCGTAGTACAAGCTAAGATTCAGCCCCTGGAGGCTGACTCCCTCACTCCCACGCTGGTGCTGCTGGGTCTGTGTGCTCTGCCTCACCCTTTCTGGGCGCTCATCCTGTGGCACCTTCTCTAACCTCTTTCCCTCAGCCCTGCCTCTCTCCCTGGGCCTCTCTTTGTCAACAACACTCTTGTCTACCCAGAAGCCTCTTGGCTCTACCCTGCACCTCCCTTCTTCCCCTCCTGCTGCAGCCACCCTTTGGGATACCTCAGAGCCAGAGTGTCTGCTGTGTGTTCCCAGGGTTGTGTCATCAGAGAACCTCAACTAGATGCTTCTCCCTTTGCCTTCTCCTTCCCTTCCTGACCCACTCAGTCTCCATCCACCAGGTTAACCCATCCCACTGTGTTCACGGCATGGTGCTCACAGGCTATGTTCACTTGCTACTTCTTTCCATTGATTCTTCTGTTCTCTCTCTCTTTCTCTCTGTCTCTGTCTCTCTCTGTCTCTCTCTCTCTGTGTGTGTGTGTGTGTGTGTGTGTGTTTCTCACTCCCCCTCTCTCTTAGACAAGGTCTCATGTAGTCTAGGCTAGTCTTAAACTCGCACCGTAGCTGAAGATGACCTTGAACTTATGACCCTCCAGCCTCTACCTCCCAAGAGCTGGCTTTACAGGAGTGCACCACCACGCCCAGCTTATGGAGTGCTGGGGCTTGAACTCAAGGCTTCATGCACACTACGCAAGCACTCTACCCACGGGACTGCATCCTCAGCCCCATTGTTTGCTTCTCGTATGGGCTCCAGTTAAGAAGTAGGACATCTCTTAACTCCTGCATTCCGAGGGCTCAATAAACATAAGGGTGTTTGTAGATACTTGGACAACCAACTGGCTGCCTGTAGATGTTCGGATTGCCAACTGACTGCCTGTAATTCGGCAACATAGTTATCTAGTGTTTGGGAGGTCAAAAGGTCAAAATGGGTCCTAATAACTGAAATCAGTCTGGAGACACGAGGGGAGCACCCATTATCTTGTCTTTCTCAGTATCCAAAGGCTGCCTGCATTCATTGACTTGTGGTCCTTTTCTTCATGGTCAAGGGCAACAACAGCAGATAGACTCTCGGCTCCAGTCACTGACTCTGACTTTCCCCTGTTCTCCTCTCTCCTTTGGGGACTGTGTGGTTACACGCGGCCCACCCAAACCATACAGAATATTCCCCATTTTAAGATTAGCCGATAGGCAACTTTATTTCCACTATCTACTTATCTGCCATTTACCATGTGACCTTACGTAGTGATGTTACAGCTTCCAGGGACTAGGATGTAGATACATTTGATGGGCCAGGGAACCATTATTCCATCTCTCCTGGTGGCGGACCTATTTGTGGTCCTTTAATGCTTGCTTCCAGAGGTGCAGGCAGGCCTCATCCTGTCCAGCTGTGCACTTCTCCTCCAATGTGCTCCCTCGTTCACTGTGTCCTCAAAGTCTAGTGACCATCTAGTGTACAAGGCAAGCCAGGGGTCATTCTGATGTCATAGATGCAGAGGCTGAGGCTTCAGAAACTCATGTGACTTGGCCAGAGTTGCCTAGAAAGGGGAAGCTCCAAGAGAAATGAGGTTATCCTAGAAGTGAGGATAGCCCGAAGGCTATCCTCAGCCATGACAGCAGGCCTCCAAGATCTCCCGTCAGTCGGTGGAAGGGAATACACAGAAAATAACAGAAATGGTCCAACTCAGAGAAATGAGGTCATAAACCAGGATGAGGAAGGAGGGAAACTGTGATGACACATGTATCTTTTTAGTGGTACTGCCTCCAAAGAGTGAAGCAAATTACCTCCCACTGCCCAGCATCCCCAAAACGAACTGAAATCTCCAGCATGGATGAGGGATGGCTCAGGGATTAAGAGCAGATACAGCAGTTGTGGTACACACCTTTAATCCCAGCACTCGGGAGGCAGAGGCAGGTTGATCTCTAAATTCGAGGCCAGCCTGGTCCACAGAGTGAGATCCAGGACAGCCAAGGCCACACAGAGAAACCCTGTCTCAGAAACTAATGAGCACCTACAACTCTTGCAGAAAAACCCAAGTTTGGTTCCCAACACCCAAATTGGGTAGCTCACAACTGCCTCTCACTTCTGTTGTGGGGGACCCAAAACTGTCTTCTGGCCTCTCTGCAGGCATATGCACACACATAATTTAAACAAACAAACAAAAAAGACATCTTCAGAACAAAAAGAAGTATCCATTGTTGCAGTGTCTGCCTTGAGACTAAACAGCAGCTCCTCTAACATTTCAGCCCACACCAGCCTAAGGAGTGAACTGTGTTCTGCAGCCCGTGTTCCGTGTGACAGCTTTCACTTAGCCCTCTCGTGCACTGAGTGGGGACTAGAGAAATGAGCCTGTCACCCAGGGAACTCATCAGAGGCACTGGCTGTGACAGCTGTGGCATGCTCATCACTTCCTCTGTGAGGTTGTCCCTGGTGCTTCTTCCCCATGCTTCTGGGGGAGTCCACCCAGCACAGAGTGGCCCTTCTCATCATGGTATTTTCTACCACCAACAAGGCCTTCAGGTAAACTAGAAGTTCCTTGAGCTCCAATGCCATAAAATTTACCCTGCAACCCCCATACTTCTCCATTGTTAGACGTACGGCTGGTGCCCCGAGACTCGGTCCCTGCCTGACTGAGTCCAAAGCCCTGTGCTGGTTCTTGCAGCAAACTCATTCTGTCCTTGAAGACCTCTGGGGGTTGGTAGCTATTTTATAATCATCTCCTCAGCTCCTTCCCCCAGCAGCTGACTGGAGGCAGGCTGGGAACGGGAGAATCCTGTAAATGGAGACTACAGAGCACAGGGAAATGTCCGGACTGTGGAGGCAAAATTGGTTTTCTCTCGGTTAGACCCTTTAGGCTGGGAGTAAGGGTTTGTCTTTTAAAGTAATAATTTGATTGAGATATAAGTAACACACTATACAATTCATCTATTTAAAGTGGACAATTAGTGCTGGCAAGATGGTTGGGGTGGGGTGGGCAAAGGCCTCCAAGTCTGACAACTTGAGTTTAACTCCTGGGACCCACTTAGTAGGAAGAAAGAAATTAATCTCCAACATGCACACTGTGACACCTGTGTGTGAGTGCACAGACACACACACACACACACACACACACACACACTCATGCACGCGTTCAGTAAAAATAAATTTTAAAAAAATCAGTGGGCACTGGGTATGGTAGTGCACATCTTTAATCCAAGCACTTTTGAGGCAGAAGCAGTTGGATCTCTGTGAGTTTGAGGTCAGTCTAGTCTGCAGAGTGAGTTCCAGGACAACCAGAGCTGTTGCAGAGAGAAATCCTGTCTCAAATAGATAGATAGATAGATAGATAGACAGACAGATAGATAGATAGATGGATGACAGATAGAATATTACAGGCAATTAGAACCAGCATGTTGGCTCATGCCTATAATCCCAGCACTTGGGAGGCTGAGATAGGAGGATAGCTGTAAATTTGATACCAGCCCATGCTACAGACTGAGACCCTGTCTCAAAAGTGAAGCGGGGGACGAAACAATCTGTATTACATCCGTAGATGTGTACAGCCATCATTAGTCAACATTAGAGATTTTCATTGTCATCTTCAAAAGAAGAAACTCATAAAACCATCATCCTTCCGTCTGTCCTCCCATCCCCTCTGGGCAACCGCCAGTCCTCTTTCCATCTCTCTAGATTTGCCTGCTCTGGACATCCCATACAAATAGAATCAAGTGATAAGTGGTATTTAGGGCTTCCTGTTTAGTGTGATGTTTGGTGTGATTATCTATGTTCCGTGTGTATCAATATTTCATTCTCCTTTTAAAGAATTATTGTGTGTGATAGGAGGGGTTGTATGTGTTCCACGGAGTGCATGTGAAGCTCAGGGCAACCTCTCTCCTTCCACCTCTCCGTTATCTTAGGAGTTGAGCTCCCTAAGCTTACCAGGATTGCTCCACAAGCATTTTACCTGCAGAGCCATCTCACAAGCTCCTAATTTCATTCCCTTTATAGGCGAATATTATTCCACTGTGTAACTGTTACAATCTACTTCTCCGTTCACTGGCTAGTGGGCATGAACCTGATATTTTGTTTCAAGTGCTTTGATTGACTTAGGGATCACACAGCTTGGATATATGTTTAGGATTTCTGGGAAATATTCCTGGGGATGGTAAATGAGGAAAGGATGGGGTATCTGCTATGCACCCATCTTGGTAATAAAGTAGCCCATCGTAATGGTTGGCTCAGGATGTCCCACTCATAAGGGAAGAGCATGGTGTCTTAGTCAGCTGAGCCCTCTGTACTGCAGAGGGAATAGAAGAGTAAGGGAAGATTGGGCCTCACTCTGAACATTTCTTAGCCATTCGGGCAAACTGCTAGCCTCATAATCAACATTCAGCAATAGGAAACAATTATTGAACCCTTCCTGTGTGCCAAGTCCTATTCTAAGCATTGTACATGCATAACTCATTAAGTCTTGTCAATGGCTCTATAACATAGTACTATCATAATAATTCCCTTTCTGCAGATTGGGATCCTGGGACACAAAGTTTGGCAACCACTGCATCCAGTGTGTCTGAAACTTGACCTGACTAGGGGTATGGAGGAAATGGAGAAAGGACAGACACCCAAAAAAGCTGGGGGTCGGTGGGCTGTGCAGACACTGATGGAGTGGTACCAACAACCGCTACAAACCAAGACATTAACATGTTTATTATGTATAGCACAGGATTGCGGGGGGAGGGGGTAGCTAGTCTCAGTAGGATATGTTTGCAGGGGAGCTACAAACCGGGACATCAATATGTTTGTTATGTATAGCACGGGGTTGGGAGGGGTAGATAGTCTCAGTAGGATGTGTTTGCAGGGGAGCTACAAACTGGGACATCAATATGTTTGTTATGTATAGCACGGGGTTGGGAGGGGTAGCTAGTCTTAGTAGGATGTGTTTGCAGGGGAGCTACAAACCAGGACATCAGCATGCTTATTTTGTACGGCACAGGGTTGGGGGAGGGTTAGCTCGGCTCAGTAGGCTGTGTTTGCGGGGGAGCAGTCTCCAGCTGTAAGCTTCCAGGATGAGGAAGCTGCAGCTGTAGCTTTTGCTACCCCAATCACTCTTTCATAAACACTCACACTGGGCCAGGAGAAAGCCGTGGCCCAATCCGAACCTGACCCAAATGGGAAAAGCTCTGACAATTCCCTGTGAGTCAGAGGCCTTGAAAATTGACTTGGCCAGCTCATGTCAAATAATACACATTCACTCAGGACTCCACTGGCTCAGGGCTTCATTCGCTCCCTACACTTAACATCTAGGGCCACAGAATGGAAAACGTGGGGCTGGTATTTGGACTCAGTCAACCTGAAGCCTGACCTGTGCCCCGCACAGAGTGTGGTAGAGCTGTCACTGCACCCTGCCTGAAACACAAGGCTCATTCCCAATCGAGTGAGGACTCTGTGGCTAATAGTCTGCTTCTTGCTATCCATGAGGGGAGGGTGGTGCAGCCACCAAAAACCAGGACACAAGTTGCAAATTGTGTTGACGCAAAGGCCGGTGGGTATTAATAACCTCACTTACAAAACAGGAAACTGAGGCTCAATAAGGTACTGTTGGTCAGCTTTCCATTGCTGTATTAACAGATACCCAAGTTAAATCAACTTTAAAGTAGGAAAGGTTTGTTTAGGTGTGTAGTTTATGAGGTTTTCAGGGCCAATTGGTCTTGCTGCTTCGGGCCCATGGTAGCATAATAATACATCATAGGGTGAGTGCACAGTAGAGGGGACTTGCTCAACTCACGGCAGCTAGGATGCAAAGAGAGAAGAGAGGTCCGGGTCACAATGTCCCCTGCTACAGCATGTCCCCAGTGACTTAACGGTCTAACACTAGATCCAACATCTCAAAGGTCTCACCCCCTCTCAATAGCAGGCTGGAAACCAAACCTCAAACACACGGACCTTGTAGACATTGAAGATGCAGCAGAGGCCCCTGCACATCAAATGCAACCAGAGCCCGCATCTGGCTCCAAATGTATTGTTCTCATCCATCGCCCCTGTGCCTTTCTAGGCCTAAATAATTTCTTTCCTTGTGCTTGTAGCATAGCTCACAGGTTTTTCAGAAAACGTTTTTCTCAGATTACATTGCTGAGCTCTAAGCACTGTCATAGAGCTCCCTGTTTCCTCTGTTACCCGTCACGGTTACCCGGGCCTTCACCCAAACTCTAACCCTCCTTATGTTCCTGCTTTTATACCTGCTGGCCCCCACCTAGAAGATTCCCTAAGACTCCTGCCCCTAGGCACCCAGGGCTGTGCCCCATAGTAACCCCCCCCCAGGTCACTAGGCTGAAACACCAAGTCCCAGATGAAATGGAAAGCCCAGAAAAACCCAAAGAAGGACCCACCCCTTGCCAATGCCTAGGTAGGCTGAGTATTTTATGTGGGTTTTCCCTCGGAGGGAGCTGCAGAGGCCAAACTTCTATTTTCAGGTCCTCGAGTCCTACAAGCGGGTAGGTTGGAGATGTTTGGGACTTTTTTGGTCTGTGTGAAGGAACTATTTGTTCTCACGCGCCCATTTCTATTCTTCTGTCTCAAGGATTTGTTATTGTTGTTTATCCGCCTTCCATTTCCCCCTAGAGCCGGCTGCTCACAGCTTGAAGTCATCACTTGTTCCCACAATGCATTT